AATCATCATCAAAATCAACAAGCTTCATGTCCATCAAGTCTAACATCAATTCCTTGAATATTCAACATAACAGAAGAGTTACCCTATTAGGTTAAGTCATGTACGAGATCATGTCCATGTTTTGTGGGTCAGCACCTCCTCCTTTTGTAGCATCATCAGCAATTTTGATAGATGACGTGTCAGCTCCTTGTTCCTCCTCTTCTTTGTCATCATCCATTCCTACTTCAATTTTTAAGACTCAACTGCAATAAATTTTGATAAATCCCATCTTATGCAAGGTGGAGTTATCAATATCATTAGTGCTTTTAGGTATCTCTCTAAGCTCACCATTAGTATCAACTACAAAATGCACCAATAGTTTGAAAATTAGAATAAGGAAATTGAAAATCAACCAAATGTTTGGCCTTTAGCATGTGATCCTTGATCACAAAGACCCAATTTACCTTTATCATGTATTAAATATAATACATCAGTGTAAGATCTCTTTCATTGAGTAGTGCATGGTTGCTCCCCTAGAGGTGAGCTGTCAAACAATGATGAAGGCAAACAACCTCTGCTCAAGATGCAGTTTACCAGCATTGAGCACCCTTAAAGACTCTTCCCTGTTTTTCATATAGGATTTGAAGTACTGGATCTTGTTAAATCCTTCTATTTCTAAAGTATATCCCTTAGAAACTTTGACTCCTTCATCCTTTATGTCAACAATTTGTTTCCAAATAGAGGTGTTGACCTCAATCTTGACACCCTTTACTTGAGATCTTATAATAGAACCTTCAAAAGTAAGGTTAGTGTAAAATACTTTTATAAGATCTAGATAGATTATATCATAGAGTTTAAGGAACGTCTATAATTTTTTATGTTGAAACAATTTTCTTAGACCTCTGAAGTTCTCCTCATCTAGCTAAGGGAACCTTGGAATTTTTAGCATGTTTACTTGTTTCTTGCCCACATCTTGAATGAAGAAATTCATTCTTTCATGTTCTCCATTGAACCGTGCCCCAGATGTCCTCCAACACCTTCAGGTTAAGAATTGAGGATTCACCTCTGTTTTTCTTTCTTTTTTATTTTGACCACTTGAACATGATTGATCAAAAGAATGGTGTTATGAGAAGATAAATTTAGAATAGATAAATACAACTTGGTGCAAATTGTTAAGAGAAATGAAAGCTTGGTACATATATGGTTAATGGAGGAAATATATGTACATATATAATAACAATAGATAAAAGTTAGTCAAATTTGGTATTTATTGCATAAAAATCGAAAATTATGAGGTTCACAAGTTTTGTCCCCTTAGTCAATTACATTGGAACATAAATTGAATAATGGATTGTAGAAAATATACATTATTACATTAGTTAAATTGTGCTTTAACTAATGTTTGACCTAGTTAAAGGTTGTTGTCCTCTCTTGAACAATCATATAAACTTCCTTGTGTAGTTTGAATAAGTGATGTTTAGCTTAAACTTTGACTCAAATTTGAATGAATTTAATGGAAGGAGAAGCTTAACCAAAAGTCCTACAAGTGAATATCAACAATATAAAAGGTGCAAGAATCACTTGATCAATTATTATACCAGATAATTAATTAAATTGTGCTTAGAGAAGCATTTCAGAAATGATAGATATTTTTAATCATTAAATCAATGAATTAATCGATTAAAACAATGCAAAAATATAGTAAAATAATGAATTCAAGTAAACTTAATTGATATAAATTGTGATTAATCGATCAATCTAGAGAGGTTTCTTCAACAAAAAATGCTTTAGTGGTTTTAATAAATTATTTCGATGAATTAATCGATTAAGATAGTGAATTTACAAGAGAAAATTTCATGTTTTAGTGATTTTAATAGATTATTTTGACCTTTAATTGATTAAAACAGAGAACTCTTACGAGAGAATCCAAGTTTTAATGATTTTATTAAGTTATTTTGATACATTATTCAATTAAAACAAAGAACAACTTAATTTTCATTCCTTCTTGATGTGGACATAAAAGTCCAAGACCAATAAAATAAAGATGAAGATCTAATTAAAGACTTAATTGGATCAATGACTAGAGGAAAGAATAAAAAGGCCCAAGAAACTTTACAACAAAATGTGACTCTTTTATGGGAGGCCCAACTGTCAAAGACCCAAGTAACTGAGGAGCTTAAGTTGGTTACATGTGTAATGGGCTTGGAGAGTTAAAATAAAAATAATTTTTTTTGTAGAGATGAGATTTGAACTCAAGACCATTAGTTTAATATTTGATTAGTTTTAATTCTTTTAAGTTTCTTTTTATTATAAACAAAGTCATCAAGAATTTACCAATTATTGTGACGATGAACCTTAGGCTTATCAAACTTTGTTTTTGGCGTCTTCTCTTTATTCTAGTTTTCTCTATTTTGTTCTCAGTTCCGAATTTTCTATTCTTAATTGATTCCAAACCCTAAATCTTTTTTGTCTTCTTACACGGACCAATTTTAAGCCCAAATCCATAATAAAGAGAATTGCAAAAGATCATCCAAAATCAAGGCAAATAAAAATTGAAATGGAAATAACTGAAATTCAATATCGTCCCAAACTTTCTTCCCTTTGCCACAGGTCACACCAAAAGAATATGTCCCAACATTACTTGTCTATAAAATTAATATATTCCTTGTATCATTATTATTTTTAAATTATTTCAATTTAATAAATAAAATTTCAATTTTATATTATTTCTTTATAATTCTAATATTATCATAACATTTTTTTAACTAATTGAGTGTAAATCAACTTTTTTATTTTATTTTTAATATTACTTAATCATAAAAAATCAAATAATTTTAATATATTTATATAAATATAAAATTCAAAAATATTAACATATGTTAATATATAATTATATAAATATCTAAATATATTAATATGTAATTATATAAATATATACTCATCAAATTATATATCTATATATATATATATATAGATATATTTATAAATATAAATATAATAATATATTAAAATTTAAATATATAAATATATATCAAATATAATTATATAATATATAAATAATTAAAATATATAAATATACAGTTATTAAATAAATGTTAATATTTAAAAATATATTTATATATAAATATTTAGTTATCTAAACATATAAAAATATTTAATTATATAATATATTCATATATTAATATTTAACTATTTAATTATATATACAAACATATAATGATTTTGATAAATAATGATTTTTTAATAATATTTCAGAAAAAAGTCGAGAAATTTACATTTATCCATTAAAATATAATAATACAAAAAAATTAATTATTTTTGTGTAAATTATATAATAAAAAATTAATGTATATTTTATTAAAAACCTATATTTTAAGATTTTAAAATTCAATTTATCTATAATTTTATGGGATAATATTTAAATCTAACTTATCTAATTAGTTAATCTTTTAATATTTTAAATTAGCTTATTTAGTTTTCTTTATAATATTTTAAATTTTTATAGTATTATGCATGTAATTCTTTATTTAAGTAATTTTTTTGATATTTTTTAATAAAATTAATTAATTGATTATGATAAAATAATTTTAAAATAATTATTTATTGTCCTTATAAATAAAGAAAATTCTAATTGTTTCATTCATTTTTCTTGTTTTTGTCAAAAAAATTAATTTTTATAATTTTGTAGTTTATTTTAGAAGATTTTACTTTAATATCTTAATAGTCATTACTAAATTTCAATTTAGTAGTATTTTGATGTGGTCTTAGGTTAAATGAGAAAGAGAAAATAACAAGAGGATTAGGAGAGGAGAGAAGAATAAGAGGGAGTGGAATAGGAAAGAGAGAATAAAAGAGAGTTGAGAGAGCTTAGAAAAAAATAAGAATGAGTAAATGAAGAGAGAAGAATAAGGAAGAGTGACAAAGTAGAGAGAATAACAAGAGGGAGTGTAAGAGAAGAGAGGAAAATAAAAGAGGGAGAGAAGTGAGTTAAAAAGAAAAAAGAGAGTGAATGAGAGAGACAAAACAATAAGAAAAGAGAGAAAAAATAATTATTATTTTTCTTATGTTAGATAAACTTATTTCTCATAATCAAATTTTGTATAAAAACTGTAAATATGTAAGTTGGGTAAATAAATTTCACAAGAATTTTTATATGAATTTTTTTAAAAATTATACTTCCCTATTTCAAAATATATAGTGTTTGGTTAAACAAATATTTCTAAATATATGTTGTATTAATTACTCTTTTACCAATTATACACTTATCTTTTTAATTATATTTATTATAGAGAAAAGATAACAAGTTATTAAGCATGTTAATAAAAAACTAATAAATTTATTAAAAATAATAAAAATTAACATTTTCTTATTATCTTTAAGTCCAATCTTAAAAGTCATATAAGGGTATTATTAATGAGATTATGAAAGGATAAAAAGTATTTGTTGTATATTTATAAAAATCAAGATCTTACACTAAATAGTCAAATAAATTTATTTTGTATAATATATTTTTCAACTTGACTTTTAATATTAAATATTCATTAAATATAATAATAACGTATTATTTACTTAGAAAATATTCAACATGACAAATATTATAACTTATATATTTTAAATTCCATAATTAAAATAATGTAACATTTAAAATATTTTTTCTCAAATTTTTATTTTGTAATATTAATAAAATATATAAACACTAATTTCAAATATTTATGACATATTTTAACTAAATTATTTCATTATTATTATTATTATTATTATTATTATTATTATTATTATTATTATTATAAAATTGTAATGCTTTAGTCTTTTGAGAAAATTAATGTATTGTAATGATTCGATCTTTAAGTAGTTATGACATCTCTAATATAAATAACTTCAATAAGTTATTTTTTATTTAAAAAAAATTATAAAATATAAATTTATTATGTCAAATCATAATTAAGTAATTCATAATTAATTTTGTTCTAATAAATATTTTACAAAAAAATTTAATTCATTATCTTTACTCTTTTTATTACTTTTGTAAATTACACATTTAAAATAATTAACAAATTTATTTTTTAAAACAGCTTCTCATTCAACTTAAATTTTTCCAATTAAGAGGTATTTCAAACAAATAATACTTTTCTTATGTATTTTAATAAGTAGGACTTGCTCTTGCGTTTTAAATTTATATATAAAAACATTGTACAAGTAGTATCTAGTGCTTTAATGCCTTGACTTGCTACCATTTATTTCAAGTAGGGATAGATGTTTAAAACACGAATTTGACAAGAAAAGGAAATGAAGCAAGAAAAATGAAAATTGATTAAAAACTCACTTGACATTGACTACGATATTGGGAATGGACTTAGCCCAAATAAGACCCATATTGTAAAAGGAGTATGCATTGCTAAATAGAGATCTTCACAGTCAACGCAAAAGAGGATTTTACACACCTTCAACTTCAAATTCTTAAAGTAATAAGAATATCAATCTTTTTCACTTATATTGTTTGACTTATATTGTATAGTTAATTTGTCTATTTCTCCACATAATTTGATTTCAGTGTTGCTTTTTTTTTTTTTCCTTGTTCTTACTCTTTGTTGTCATTGTTTTTCTCTGAAATTTTTTCAAACCGCCTCGACTCTGTTTTTTCTGGTATTTATAGATTATGTGAAATAACTGGTTTAATTCAAACTCCACTCCTTTTCTGCACTTGACAGGCTGCATACTCACTTAACATTTTATGAAAACCAAACCATTTTGTTGGAGCATGGAAAATGAGAATACTTAATTTCTGCCCATTTCTCACTTGTCAAATATTAAATAAAGAATAGGAATTCACTTGCCAGGATAGGCATTCATAGCCTAACTAACTAATCCTCACTTACACTATCTACATTCTACTTAGCTTCCACATCACCTACTTATATTACAAAAAGAATAACAGCATTGTAAATAAAACAAATATAATGAGCCTAACCTAATCAAAGCAACAAGCAAACTAACCCTCCCGCATTGGACGTTTACCTTTGGGGTCTGTTTCAACAGTAGCAGAGCTAGTCCCTGTGGCACTGGTGGTAACAGTGGTATAATTATTACTTGAATCAGAAGTGTGTGAATCAGAGGCACCAGAAGTACCCACTGTGGAAGACAATGCAGAGTGTCTCCGAGGTCTTCTGTATCTGGAACCAGGTACTCCTGGTCTTGTTGGTTCTTGCATCTGGCCTGGCTTCCTCGACAGCATCACCACCACACGCCTCATTGTGGGACGTAGCTGTGGATCGCCTTGTGTGCATAACAAACCCAGCTGAATGCACATGGCCACCTCTTCACCTACCATCGTAGCTGCTAACGTCGAGTCCACAATTTCTAAGCTCTTCCCTTTCTTGTACATCTTGTATGCCTATTATAATCACCACAACAAAACAAACAGTCTTTAATTTGGCAACCAATTTTCAATTCAAAATGCAACTTGATTATGTAGGCATGAGGTGTTGGTGATGCTATTAATTAATCAATTCATGAAATAAAAAGTCCTCAAAACTTGTGGAAATGTCAATGCGAATAAGAAACAACTATACCTAAATGTCATTTGATTATGAAGCGATGGAAATAAAAAATAATAATAATAATAATAAAAAGTGTTACCCAATCAAGCAGATTCTGCGCGTCCACATCCAAATTAAAAGAAGAGTTTCTTTGGCCGGTGATCAACTCCAACACCAAAACTCCATAACTAAATACGTCTGCCTTCACTGATAGATTTCCATGCATAACATATTCCGGAGCCATGTATCCACTGAACAATTATGAGTATTAGTTAATCTTAGTATTAGTTCAAAGTTAAAAGCTATACCGAACGGGTCAAAACACTTGACTTGACTAGTCAGTCATATCATATCATACATACGTGCAATCCAAGGATGTACCCTAACTAATACGCAAGTTTCTTAATCTGGTGATTTGAAATACGAACTCCTATGGTTGATCCCGAAAGGTTTAAAGTAAAATGTTTTTTATTAACAAAATATTTATGTTTATTCTAGTAATAAAAATATAAAATCCACATGATGCGGCCTCTCAATATACTGTTTATGTCCCTATCATATTTTTTCTATCATCGTCCATAAAATGTTGATTAGTTTTAAAACTAGATGAAATTTAATAAGATTTCATAAAACTTAATTTGTAAAATCTATTACTTATAAAACATTATTAAATGCGTAATATTATCAAGATTAAAGCTTGACACGGGAAAGAGGATCAATTTATTCTAAAACAAGATTAACTCTTCTTTTACTTAAAAGGAAAAATAAAAGAAGCTATTTATTCACCACGTTAAATAGTTTACAAACATAGCAAGCTTATTAATTTTTATAATAATTATTTTAAAAGTTTAAACATACATACATATATTAAAGTTTATTCCGACATTATCCGAGTTTGATTTTGGTAGAAACAATCCCTTACTTATTAGTCGAACAAGATTAATTTGAGACAAAATTTTATGTCCATAGATATAAAAATCATTTTATGAAATTATGATAATCTTAAATTACTAAAATCCTCTCAAAAGAAATAACCTAGGGAAGAAAAAGTATCTTTAATAAAATGTATTATTACTTGTTACAAAAACTAAGAAAAGTTAAGTTGGTTATCCAAAATAAAGCATGAATGGAAACTATTAACAAGAAGATTCTTAGTGTGTAAGCAAATGAAAAATATTTAATTCGGCTTTGTTATGTTTCCACGGTCGCCATGCAAATATTTATGCAGAAACATGTTCAAGATTTGATAGAACTCTTTAAAAATTAAAAATAAAAAAGTAGATTAAAAAGATAGGCGTGAACTTACTTGGTTCCAGCCACACGTGTATTGACTTGGCTTTGATCTTCGGGGAAGAGACGGGCCATGCCAAAATCTGCAATCTTGGGCGTCCATTTGTCATCAAGCAAGATGTTACTCGCCTTGATGTCGCGATGGATGATGCAATTGTGAGAGTCTTCGTGCAGATAAAGTAACCCCTTTGCCACGCCTGTGATTATGCCCAACCTTCGTTTCCAATCAAGCTTCTCTCTCTTTTGTGATTCTGCATCCATTTCAACTTACGTACTGTTATGGAAATAACAATTCATTAATCTTAACAACAACATCAATTTCAACCATAAAATCTTTCTCATATATTTCCCAATCAACATGTTTTATTTTTAAAACCATATTATGTTCAGCGGGATTACAAATAGTGACTATTCCACGCCACCAAAGAAATCTAGAAAATAGAAGTTCAGGTATAGGAAGTTTTTCCATCTAACCGAACTTGAATGTTCGTCTACCAACCCCCAAATGGGGCTGCTTTTCATTGTTATCGTTTGTTCTTGATTGGAAAGGGTGAAAGAAAATGCTAGGATGGTTCATGCAACAAAAGTCGTCATGCCAAGCCATGACGTTGATAATATAAATGTGAGGAGTTTCATGGTGAACATTCTATTATCATCTAGAAAGATATCCAATGCATCAAATAATGAACAGTTTGTGTACGGAAAAGTCAAGGTCTCTTTTGGAGTTTCTTCATGTCCATCCATTCATTCGTATATATATATATATATATATATATATATATATATATATATATATATATATATATATATATATATATATATATATATATATATATAAAGGATAGGTGGCGGTCCACGGTGAAGGTAAATTGAACGGGACGTAATTCAGAAATAAACATGATTTCTAATGGAGAAATTGAACGCATTGGAAAGTCCATGTTCCGCAGTCAGGTAGACCAAACAAAGTTTGGGATGAAGGGAAACTCAATTCACATCTTTCATGGTAAATAATATAGACTCGACTTCTAAAATCAAATCAATTTTGTTTCTGGAAATAATGACCATAAACGATCCTAATTAGAAAAAATAAAGAATTGAAGATGGGTTTTATTGATTTGATGAATGATGAAGAGGGTGGCATAGAAGGAGAAGCACTCACTGAAAAGAAGCTTGTCTAGGCTTTCATGAGCAACATACTCATAAACAAGTAGCTTTTCGTTGCCATGGACACAATAGCCCACTAAATTGACCACATTCCGATGCTGCACACGAGCCAACAACCTGGCTTCATTCATGAATTCCTTCTTCCCTTGATTTGAAGTGTGTGATAACTTCTTCACAGCAATCTCTCTCCCATCATTCAGCTTCCCCTGCAAGTAGACTCCAAACCTAAATTTCACTAATCTCGTAAAATACAATAGGAAGCATTTTCTTTTGACGAATTTTCACAAAAGGGGAAAACCAAATACTAGAAAAGCATCAAGTCAATGAATCCAACCATTTGCTTGGAAGAGAATTACGTTAGGATTAAATTCAGAGAAAACATGCTCTTGAACCAATTAAAAGCTTCTTCGTTTTTTTTTTTTCATGCCAAGAAAAAAGAAAAGTGGTGATTGATCTTGATTATACCTTGTAGACAGGTCCAAAACCTCCCTCACCTAGCTTATGAATATCACTAAAATTCTTGGTGACAGCAGCCAAGGTTTCGTAGGCAAAAATCTTCTGCTCCTGTGCAGCCATTTTCTGTATGTCAGCTTCATTGTTTTGCTCTGACCAAACACAACAGTGCAGAAACAGAATCCCAGTAAAATCAGACAACTCGTCTACCAGAAAATTAAAAGTTTTAAACAGAGATTGAAGAAGAAAGAGAGGAATTACCTTTAGTGGAACCGAATTTGAGGTGTTTGATAAAACTTTGGAAAAACCTGTGAGTGTGAGACTTGTCCTTGTCCATGGCGGTGTCTAATGAATGTCTATGGTTCCCGATTGCAAGAGATGCCCATGAAACGGAAACCGGAGCAGGAAAGAGGGAATTGAGATTGAAGCAAAGTCGTTATCTCTTTCGAAAGATGAAAAAGGGTTCGTGGGGAAAAGAGAGTGGGAGAAGAAAATTGAGTTTTTGTTGGTACAGGAAGAACAAAGACAAATAAACAATGGGAACCGGAAAAGAAGCGAGAAGCGAGAAGCGTGTTGCACTTGTTGACTTAGTGACGTTCTATTGACCCAATAATTAAAAACCAGTAGAAACACAAAATGATAATAATAATAACAATAATAATAATAGATTTACTTAAAATTTTAGTTTCAAATTATTTTGATGCTGTTTTTCTTGCTTTTTAACTTATTTTTTATTTATTTAATTTTAAAAAAATATGATGAGATAACTATGATGTTATGATAATATTTCACCTATCATATTTTAATTAAGTTCACTTGTTATATTTTTTAATTCACCTCATTCACAATTTATTTTATGTTGTATTTAAATTGTTGAAAATAGATCTGGATACATTAATTGTTATTTCGGTTGAATAATAATATTCATTATACGAGATGTTAACTATAAATGTTATATATAACTAACTTATTTCTTTTTATCAATGTCTTTATTTAAAAGATTAATAAGGTGTAATTTTTAAGTTTTATGAGTATTGAGCATTGAAGTTGGGAATGACAAAATTATTTTTATTAGATAAATTGAAAAACTTATTATATTTATACGTTAAAATAACAAATTATAATCAATAATTTAAACTTAAATGATTATTTTTTATAATTTAAATTATAATATTATAATATATTTATATATTTCAATAACATGATAAAAATATAATATTTTTAATTATAATATTTTTTATTTTAATTATAATATATAAATATTTTGTTTAAAGTGAATCAGTCCTACCTTGCCCTTGGTCCACTAGTTTGGCAAGTTAGACGGAATATGTCAAAAGCAGATTCGTTGGGTTAAAACTATAAATCCATCCTGCAATTTTTTAGGCGAGGTTGGCGAGTTAGCCTGTTAGACCTAGCTCAATTTACCATCCCTAATGAAAGTTTACCCAGTAAATCATATTTCATGTTCAAGTGAATAAGTAAATAATAAAATAAAAATAGAATATAAGTTATTAAAATGAATAACAATTAGAATGATATTTGTACCTACTGAGATTATTATTTGTTATTCTAACAAAAATATTTCCTAAAAATAATTATATTAAATGCTTATTATTGATAATAATTCATAAAGAATATTCTCATTCAATATCATATGAAGTGCATTATAATCAACATTAATGAGTATTGTTTATTACTTAAAATAACATTGGTAAAAGTTTATAAATTATGTCATTTTATGATAGATGAACATATCTCTCTCTAAAATTCATATACTGACTCAAGCATTGGAATGTCTTTTCAAGTGGACCTACCCCATTTTCTTATTCAGTAGAGCTCATACCAAATTAGCATAGTTCAGACCAGATTGTTCAAGATCAAGACTGATTGCCCCGGGTTGTTCTTATTGTTTTTTTGTATTTATTTTTTACAAGAACTTTTGACGCTCACCATTGGGCCTGGTGAAATATATACCAGTTCACCTTTTGTTATGGTTATCACAAAAATTTAAGCATCTATTACCACCATGAACACATAAGATATGGTCAACTCTGTGAAACCTTATATGGAGGAAATGCAAAAGAAAAAAGATGAAAAAATCAACTTAATAGAGCAAACACATCATGAAGAAATGAAAGCTTTTAGAAGACAAAACGTAAAAGTAGAGAAGTAGTTATGAACTTTAGACCAATCTCCTCCAAGATATCACAATTCATCCAGACATCAATCTCAATCATGGAACCAATCACCACCACGTGAAGATGATGCACATACAAAAGGAGAATCTAACCGATAGGATGTCTGAATTGAAGTTGATTTAGGACTGAGTATGAAAAGAAAAAGAAACTCATCATATCTTGGGCCAATCCAAAATGAATACAAGAAGCCCATTCACTCAAGGTATTCTAGCAGAAGCCTTACCCAATGTATGGAAAGCTCTAGTTATGGAAAGATTTGGAGGAGGATCAAATCCATACGAGCATATACGATGAAAAGGAGTAAAACTTTCCCATGATGCTAAGAGGTGTCACTCTCAACTAATTCTTTGATCTTCCCACTAGATCAATAAATTCATTGGATGTCTTACCTCATAAGTTCTGAACTAGTTTTACAGTTGTAAGAGGCCAAATCAACCAACCTCTCTCACACTACAAGGGTTAAGGCAAGAAAGAGGTGAACCCTTGAGAAAATTTATGGAAAGATTTAATGAAGTTAGCCTCATTTTGGGCAATCTTTCCCTTGATTTGATTATCCATTCCTTGACATCCGATCTAAGGCGGGCTCCATTTCTAGACAACATATATATGGACTATTCTGAATCAATAAGAAAACGTAAAACTCATTCTACCAAATTCATGCAATTAGAAGAAGACATAAGGATAAAAAAGAAAAGGGAATTATTGGAGAAATAAGGCCCATCTCATAAGTACAACATAGATAAAGGATATAGACGAGAAGACAAAAAAAAGGAGAGAAAGTTTACTCCCCTTAATGCTAGTGTTGAAGTAGTCCTATGAGAAGCTTGTAACTTGGAACTTGTCAAGCTACCATAGCCATTTATCACACCTCCAAATGCATAATGATCAAAACAATGTGCATTACAAAAGGGTTAGAGAAATTTTGGAAGACCTCATTCGAGTTGGAGCCTTAGATTAGTTTATTCAACATTACAAACATGACTGAGGTTATAATTCAAATAATTATAAAGGTTATCTTGGTTGACGACATAGGTGTTTTTAGGAAGAGGACGGGGAATAGGACATGATAATCCTTGAAAAGGCAGGAAACCAACGACTGACCATCCCCAAAACATCACAAGTGAGAAAGGACAAATGAGAGGAGTTATTAATACTATTGCAGGGAGTTTTACTGGAGAAGGAAGTTGAAATTCTACTCGAAAATGACATTTAAGGACGGTAAATCATGTCAACATATCTCGGTCACTTACCTTTCATCACTTTTACATATGAAGATTTTAGCTCAATTAATTTTATGCAAGATGATCCTATGGTGATCACCATTTATATTGCCAATTGAGTAGTAAGCAAAACATTAATTGATAAAGGAAGCTCGACCGATATATTATATTGGGCCACTTTTTTAAAAATGCACATTTCACATGATTTGATTCAGTCATATCTCAATCCATTAGTTGGATTCACTAGTGAACGAGTTCATTCGCATGGATACATTAATATATTAATAGCTTTTGAGAATGACAAAGAAAGTAAAAATCTTGTGGTAAGATATATATTGATAGAAGCTGACACTTTTTATAATGTGTTGATAGGAAGGAAAATATTAAATTAGCTTGGAGACATCATTTCAACACCACACATGACTATGAAATTTCCAATTGAAGGAGGACGCATAGTAACAACTAAAGAAAAACCCAAAGAAGCTAGAAAATGTTACGCACTTAGCCTCAAAACCCAACCTTATTTTGAAATGAAGTAAAGAAGTTCCTCCTCAACAAACATCCATCCTACACAGTCAAAATAATATTGAAGAAGTAGATGTTGATCCTTAGCATAAAACAAGAGATGATTGTCTGAGCTTTGACAAGCTAATATTCAAATTCTAACTCAGAATATTGACGGACAAACAACTCGATTAGGAACAATGATAAAGACCGATTTGTGAAATCAAATGGTGGAAATACTAATGTTTTTAAAACCAGACTAGTCATCGAACTAGTAAAGACATGAGTTCAGGGTTTAAAGGTTCAACCAGGATCCAATCAAAGTTAATAAAATCATATTTTTATAATATAATAAAATATAATAAGTTTATTAGTAATAATGTTTTTAATAAAAATAAAGAAAAATAATAAAGATTACTGTATGGTTACCAGTAAATTACAATGAAAGTTATAAATATAAAATACATTAGAGAGTGAAAGATGGATAATTGTTAAAATAAGATAAAAATACAATAAAATAATTATTATTTAATTTCAACATAACTAATATGAGATAAAAAAAAAACTAAAATATTATTAAAAATTATGTTAAGGAAGTACCATGTGTAAATGGAAAGTTAGTTTTAATAGCCCAATTTATTCCTAAATTAGCTGAAAAAGTAAAGCCATTTTTTAAATTATTAAAAATAGCTCAAAAATTTGAATGGAAGGAAGAATACAACTAAATGTTTCAAAAATTAAAAGGGATATTGCCTCTTTGCCTATCATAATAAGCCCAAGCATAGGAAATCTCCTTTTTAATATATTTAGCAGCATCAAACACAACTATAAGCTTGATATTAGTATGTGAGGAAAATAATTAGCAAATTTATGTACTATTTCACTAGTAGAATACTACAATCAAGTCGAGTATGAATCATTGATTGTTAGCTTGAAATTGGCTAAAAAAATTAGAGCAAAATATCTTTGATGCAAAAGTGATTCCAAACTCATAATTGGGCAAATTAATGGAGATTCCTAAACCAAAGAGTACTAAAATATTATCATATCGCCAAAAATTTAATAAATGATTTTGAAAATTTTGAAATAAAGCATATACCTAAAGAGCAAAATGACAGAGCTAGTATACTTTATAAACTAACAAGTACAAAGAAACATGACCAACATAAAACATTGTTATAAGAAATGCTAAAAACACCAAGTTGGGATCACGGAGATGTTTTTCATATTGATATAGCCAAACCAACATGGATGACACTCATAATGCATTACTTAAAAAATGAAGTACCCCCGAGTAATCCTGAAGAAGCTCAGAAAATGAGAAGAATTGTAGCATTTTTTGTGTTGCATGATGGGAAATTATTTAAAAGAGGATTTTCAAGACCCCTCTTAAAATGCTTAGATACAGATCAAGTCGAGTATGTAATGAATGAATTATATATTGGAATTTGTTAAGTTCATTCAAGAGCAAAGAGCATGACAACCTGAATACTCTATGCAGGGTATTATTGGCCATCATTAAAACAAGTTGTAAAAGAGTTTGTGAAAAAATGTCAAGCATGTAAAAAAATTGGCCCAATATTCAAAGTAACTCCTGAAGAACTTTATAGT